ACGTGTAATAAATTCAAGGTTGTTCCTCATTATTTGATGTTAAGGACTCAAATAGAGCATGCATTTCAGTTCCAGTGTACCCACCTAAGGCCTACCTACTGTTCACTTTTTGGCTATGGATTTTCGTAAATGTTTTGTGCCTTCTTGTAAAAACAGTAATCTAAATTCGAAGAAAATCCCAAACCCCAAAAATGAACAAATAAGAAGAAGTTGGTGTTTAGCTGTGGAAAGAGTTAATATATGGTCTAGTATTTCTGGTGGAATTTATTGCTGCGAAGATCATTTCAATGTAAGTAAACTTAGTTGCCAAATTTCATTCTATAAACACCTATTTTCTGTCATTATTTCAAAAATATGAACATTATATTATGTTTATAGATGAAACAAGATTGTGATAACTGGATGCATTTTAGGATGACAAACTGCAAATTACGTATGAAGAAAAATGTGGTTTCACATATCAATTTAGGCAGAATCGGAGTTTGTTAAGAAGCTGAATAAAAGAATTGCCAGCTTACGAATCCATATTGAAAGAGTGATACAAAAATTGTGAGAATTTGCAATACTCGAAGGACATTCCTGAATTGACCATCAGCTTGTAGCAAAAACTGATTATTTAATAATTATTGCTTGTGGAATAGTGAATTTGCAGGAACCATTAATCAAATAAATTTTATGTCAAAGCTAGAAAAAAATGCTTTTTTGAATATATTGTATAAAAAAAAACCTAATGTTTTTTTTTACAGCCAAAATAGTACATTATACACCTAGGGACCAAAGTGGTACTTTTAATCCCAAAGGGAGGGCTATGATTTGTTGAGGGATTAAAAAACACTTTAGTCCTGAGGTGTATACACTATTTTATGCACTTTAGGGATTAAAAATTGAAAGGGTACTTTTGATCCCTCTAAAGTACATAAAATAGTGTATACATCTCAGGACTAAAGTGTTTTTTAATCCCTCGGCTCGGAGTACCCTTTTATTCCCTGTTCCATTTACTCCATGGGAAATAAAGTAAAAAGTTAATCCCTTGGGAAATAAAGTGAAATTTAACCTTGGGGATTAAAAGGGTACTTTTAATACATAAATAATGTAAAGAAGAAAACTTCCAGACTCCCAAATCAATCATATATTTTTATTCAAAATGACTGAAAATACATTTTTCTTCCAAAATTCTTCAGTTGATTCAATATTTACTTTGAGAAACCTAATGTTTAAGTATAATTCAAACATTGTCATTTCATTATCCTCTCCAAATTTGGGACTTGCCACACAAAACAGTCCTTTTTGTCTGTTACACAATAACAATTGTAACTGAAGTTGGCACATGTATTCCGTGATTATATTTTCATTTTTCTTAATGTAGTTTTTCACAGTATCCTGCTTGCTAGGACATTCAACTTCAATCACAAATTCTTTGCATATTCGATCTGGCAATGCTCCTAACAGAGGATATTCTGCTGTCTCTTTTCAACTGCACACACCCAATAGCATCGTCACCCACAATAACTGTCTCTCGCTGACCTAAAAATATATGAAACTATAAAACTGTTACCCTGCTACTAAAAATGTAATATAATAATGAGCCAAAGCTAAACCAATACAATAATTATGCCAATATTTCATTACCCACCTTTCTGTTTTGACTCCTCTTATTTCTGCACTTAAATAATCCGTATTTTTGGCAAAAATCTCTTGCAGCATCACATAATTTAGTTTAGGTAAATTTTCGCTGGAGGCTTTAATAAATCCACTATCCATCTTCTCACATAAACCAAACAAATAAACAGGTGAAATATATAATAAAAATATAAATCAACCAGTCTAAGCAGGCGAATCAAAATAAATAACAAAATAACTGACATAACCTCTAAAAGAAGACTGACATATGCCAGTCGCAAGGTAGCCAACTAGACAACTAGCAAATTCTGTCAGTGATGCAAACTTAAATTTACAAATACAGGACGCAAGCGCGCCTTGTGACGTCAAACCATTTTAAAAAATAACGGAAAATAGTAAAATTTCAAATTGAAATATCTCCTTTAATATAATTCTAAAAAATGCGGGAAAAAAACCAAGAATAGTTTTTGATGTGCTTAATTCAATAAAAAAATAAAAAAAAATCATGAAACGACCCTATTGATTTACACGAGCTGTGAAAATTACTTTGCAAGCTACTTCTCGGAATTTGAACTCTCCCAATTGGTATGCCACATTATTTTAGCGAAATTTGTAATTAACTTGAAGTACCTATAAACTTAATGGCATAGGTGTACTGATTATAATGACGGAATTTTTTTTTTCGTAATTTTGCGTAGATTTTTCTTGAATTTAGGTATGTAAAACTCGCACAATTTGTATGCCGTTTGTTATTTCACTTTATTATATCATGATCGCTTCAACCATAGAATTGCACGCTAATTAAATATACACAAAAATATTTTCCATTTTACAATCTCACCTCTATTTTCTAAAGGGTCATTTACATCCACTTAACGTACGGAAAATTATAATTAACGTACGAAACTGAGAAGGCGTGTGTTTACATGAAGTTAATTTTCGTACGTGTAATTACCAATGACATTGATAATAACAGACTAGTTCAATCTGTCTGTCATTCATAATTATTATTAAATTTAATGCACGCCTTAAGTTGAAATTGGTTCAACTTTTCCGTGTGTTACGTTGATTTTCTTAATTTTTAAGTGGATGTAAACAACTACATATAAGTACCTAAGTACAGGATCTTCAACTTTTCCCTATTAATAATTTTCCGTACGTTAAGTTAAGTTAAGTGGATGTAAATGACACTTAATATGACAAGCCCGTTCACATGGTATGCCATTTTACATATCGACATTTTAGGATACATATTTCTTATTGCAATACATTTTTCATTGCGTAAAATAACGTAATCTTATTGGATAACTCTACTAGATGTTTTTATTGTGACGTATACTTGGACATGCGTAAACGGTATGTCATTTTTTCTGTAGCTGATGTATAGCAAAACCATGTATACTTCTTAATAGCAACCTGTTTAGAAACGCGGATAAATATTTTTTTAAATTTCAAGTACATCACCTGACCGTGATCACCTTTTGACCTCACGCAAACGGTATGCTTTTAATTTTTCAATTGTCGCATTTTACTTGAATTTTATTGTGGATTCATGTCAGCCTGGGTAAAATTGTATCGAAACGCTTCATTTGCAAACAAGTGTTCTTTATGATTTATTAATAGGAGAATATGTCTATACCATAATACCCTCCAAAAGGCATACTGGGTAAAATCATGTCCGAAAATCTGTCACTATCTCCCGGTCTATAAGTCAAGAAGATGAAGTCTTGCCTAAGTTTGTGGATATAAGACCTCAAACGAATATACGAACAATTTACTGCCGCTTAAATAGCTTCGAAAAGGGTAGCCTATTTGGTACCGAAATTTCAGCGAGCAAAGATTAGAAGTCGTCCGAGCCTTATCCAGTACACATAATTTTATTGAAATAGAACTCGAAGCAGAGTAATTTATTTTATAAAAAAAAATTGATAGGTTAGATAGACTCTAATCAGAGATCGTGTAATAATTCTATTCAAGATCAATAAACTTCTGCTGAAAATTTCCATTGAGGTGTGGGTCCCCAAAAACTGCTAGGTGATATCATAAATCCACCTCAAACATGCAGACGTTGATTATTATTAGTTTCAATAACAGCAAGACCTAATAAAAATAAATGAAATCTACTACTGTATAGGCTGCTCCAAAATGATATATATTATAACTCATGGTTGAATATAATATGTGAGTAAATACTAATCAATCTGGAAAAGTAAATAGCAAATATCCAGCTCAAAATAAAAATAATAAATCCTCTCCACTGGCAGAAAAAATTAAAAATTGCTTTACTCTTCCAAGAAGTGTCATTTGTGAATAATAGCACAATTATTATTCATAAAATTGTTAGCATTGTTTACACTTGAAATCAACCTTGATATTCTATTCTATGTGGTGGTTTACTGTTCTCTTCGCTGAAGTTTTGGGATCGCTAGTGATGCCGCTAGACGAGATGAGACGAGAATTAGCTCTCTCTCGTCTTGTCTCGAAGGTTCGAGAGAAAATTAGTTTCTTGTCCCGACGAGAGACCCTCGATACGAGACGAGAGAGCTCTTCTTGGGTCTGGGGGCGGATTACGAACTCTCGATTCGAACCGAAACCGCCATAGATTTCGAACGCATTCCTATGCATTCACATGGAGTGCGTTCGAAATCCATGGCGGTTTCGGTTCGAATCGAGAGTTCGTAATCCGCCCGCCCCCTGGTCTCGTGTCTAAATGCAAAAAATGTAGGTAGGTACCTAAATGTACCCATAACAATCAAGGTTCTGGACAGTTCTGCTACTGGACTGAAATAATCAAGCCTATATTAATTTCATAAAAATAGTTTCATTAATAAAACCGACGGTTTTGTTTTTTTAATATAAATAGATTTTCTTTCTTTCAATATTCAAATAAGGCTCTGGATCTCAGAAAAGAGGCATTTCCGATTGCTGGCCACATATTTATTTATTTTTTAAATAAGAAATCGCACCTTGATACTAGGGACCCAACGACTTGAAAAGGCTTATGTCCAGCAAGGGACCCAAGAGACTATGTGACCAAACGGAGTAGAAGGACGAAATCTAGATACGCGGGAAAAATCCCTGGATAAATGTCCAAGATCCACTATGCTGTTGTTCATTGGAAAATACTATACAGACCGGACCAACCTACTAGACACAAAGAGTCTCAGCAAAACGAGGGTAACGAGGCGAGTCGAGTATAGTTGAGCTGCCGAAGATGCATAATAAAATGCGAGAAAAATGCAGAGCCATAGGTATCAGTCAACTGGTCATATTGAAGCATATATGTCTAGTAGCCTGGTCCTATCTGTATATATCTATATATTTACCTAGGTACCTATTTAAACAAAGTTCAATTCATGTTGTATTAAAAATGATTAGAGTCTAGATCATCTTATATTACTGTTCCTTGAAATAAATTATACAACTAATTATTCTAAATTTACAGAAAACCATGCCCAGCAATAACTGCAGGGATAAATCCCTTTCTTCCTTCCTTATTTTGAACATAAAACCACCCCTTCGTGCTTGCATTAAGTAAAAAAACTACGTCGTTTTTGGAAACTGACAAAGATTCTCTTTCATTGCCTTTATAGTTTTCATTTATCACTAGAAGAGTATGTCTAGTGCCTTTGCCTGGAAACATTATTTTCATTATTAACAGATATTGTAATAACAAAATGTTATTCTTGCCTTTGGCTATTGCAGCTGCCCTCAAATATAACCTATCGACGCTTTTTTCACCACAAGTGCTATAAGCTGTCCTATATCTAGTCCTAGGACAATGGGTATCCTCATTATTGTCAGATTTATAACTAGGTTTCTCGGTGTCTGTCATATTTCCCGAAGGTTTTGGAAATACATCTGTTGACTTTTCCCAACATGGTGATGATTTATCATCTTGTGGAGGTGGAATTATACCTAAAATATAAGTTTAAATCACTTTTAATTATCATGCCTCATAACACTTGAACACGTTACAATGATTCGCCGTTAAGCTTTCATTCAAATTTCCTGGATGTGGTCAATTTATGAGGTAATTCTCTATAATACACTTGTTCTATATATAAAATACTGATTTCAAAATTCAATAAAAAATTCGCAGCAAAACAAACTGTAGGTAGGTAGTCGAAGGTGCAGATTTCCTTTCAATAACCTATCACACTAGTGAGCTATGGACCACCTTAGTGCCGGACAAATTAGCAAATAAAGTAGTCATTAGGTATTCAACAGGGTTGGATAAACAACTTCCATTATTTTATTTTTTTTGTATCTCTCGATTTTTTAACAAAATCATTTTTAAGAATATCCTGCATACCTACTTATTGCTTAGATGGATTTTCTTAACATCCTGTTTCAAGGAGAAACAGGAGCGTTTCCTAGAAGATCACCATTAAATTCCAACATTTGTTGGTAAAAGCCATTTTGCCCTTATATAAACTGAGGTTTTGTGTTGGTTGCTTTTGTTAAATGTGAGTTTTTAGCCCAAATTATTGACTGATTACAGTTTGGCGGCATACTCCTGACCTTTTCCGTACGACGCGCCGCGCCGATCGAAAGGTAATTTAATCAAAACAGATGTGAGATGCTATGGGCATGCTGCATTTATTTTAAAGATCAGGATAGAGCAGTCGAACTGTATTTTTGTGCTCGGTTTAATGACAAGTGTTCAGGAATTAAATAAAATATAATCGTCGGATTTTTTTAAAATCAAAACTCATATAGTCTGTTCACTGAGATCAAGACTCACTAACAAAATTAATTTCTAGAAAACTAAGGAGCAGATTGGTCATGTTATGTTGTTCTGAAAACCGAAATAAAGAAACTTGTCTATTTTCAGACGAAATGATGCAGGAAACGGCTACCAGAATCTTTAAATTTTGATATAGAGTGTTAAGTATTTTATATCTCATGCAACGTCCTTAACGTGTGAGCATATAAGTACATATAGGTACTTACTTATTTTGACAATAGAATCAATCTAGAACATATACTAGAAATTCGACTACCTAAAAAATGGAAATGCAGTGAAGAAAAATGTCTAGGATTTTTTGTAACTACACGTACTAAGCACTAGTTGCCATTGCTGAGGAAAATTTCGTTTGCTATGTGTTTTTTTACTATTTAGGCCGTTAGAGTTCTCGATGCCTACAGAAGCATCAAATACTATAGCAGACCTCATAACTGAACAATTATGAACTATAATATGAAAATATTTTTAATAATGGTATAGTACCAGTCAATCGACACTATGCTTTCTGCGGGGGGCTAAGTGTCAAAAGTTAAATTTTCAATGTATCGGAAACTAATAGTTTCCAGATTCTAAAACCAAAGGTAATAATCCAAAATTAGACAATGCAAAAATGTACTATTCTCAAAAAATTAGATATTGGTACCATTGCATAGAACGAAATGACCTAAAAATCCGAAAAAGTCCCTTTACAAGTTACGTAGATTGTATATATTTTTCAAATATTTTAGAAAGCATTAGCAAACAAACCAAAAACACGATTTTGTATCAACCGGTACACCGTCACGCCTTAACGCAAAGTAGGTATTCCTCAAAATGACATTTTTCCATGGGGTTTGTCACTTTAAGGAATACTTATTGTTAAAACTTCCTTAAAATGAATGGTGCGAATGGCCATAAGAGAGAGAGCATCGCATGTTAGCGAATACAATGTTAATGAGTAGGTACCTACAATTTTTTTAATTTAATTAAGCGGATCTCTGGAAAGGTCATCTGATTTTAAATTTTGAAGAAATTTGAACTAATGCCAGCAAAATTCAAATATTATTTCTTGAGTTGAAACCCGAATATAGAATTTTAAAAAAAAATAGAAAGACAGAAATAACCTCTCGGGTGTTACAGAAACATTTTACCGAATTGAGTATTTACCTTAAAATCAAAAGGGGTAGTGAATGTGAGTGGCGAAAGTCCAAACTAAAAAAGAAAGAAAAAGAAGACAATTGAATATGTTCATTAATGTCATCGATACTGTTGATAACATTTTTCTTGTTATGATCAAAAACGAACACCCTTCTGCCCTGTGTCCAGACGTTTTTGGTTTCAAACTACTCAATTGCCGTCTTTATTAGGCAATTGGACCGACATACTAAATTAAACTAATGACTAATGCGAACACTGCAGCGACCAAATTCATAAACTTAAATTTCTAATTAACACATGTACAAAAACAAGAATTATTGAGGTTAAGAATTTAAAAAAGTTAAAACCCTGGATAACTGACGAATTGGTTTCACAAATAATGTTAAGAGATAGATTAAAACAGAGATTTTTAAACAGTAATAATAACTTGAACTTAAAAACAGAGTATACAAACCTAAGAAACACAGTCACATCCTCAATAACGAAAACAAAACATTGATACTAAGCAAAAGTATGGCAATTGATAAACGAAGCCACAAATGAGAAAAAAAAGTCGTAAGGTAAAAGGACCCCGCACTAATCTTATGGAAATTGGATCACGGCTAAATTTTCTGCAACTTTGGTAGGTATATGATAGTTTTTGAGCTTTTGATCAGAAGCTATCATTGCGCAAAAGTGCTACGATCGCTAGTTTTCAAGATATTGGGCCTTTTATTTTTTGTTTTTTGGGTCGCGCTCGAAAGCGGTAAACGTCAAAAGGTTTTGACGTGTTCTGAAACTCGAGTCTGATCAGTTTTTGGAGTGAAAACTTCTTATGCCTTATTCTCACGCGCAAAATTCGCTCTTTTTTGACATTGCTTCGACAATTTGACGTTTTATCCGTGTATCAAACGTCAAATTGTCGAAGCAATGTCAAAAAGGGCGAATTGCGCGCAAGTGTGAATGAGGCATTAGGCATGTTTCAATGAGCGGGTGCTTTCGCCAATGGCCACATTCACCAGATACAAACATTGATAAACGCTTTGCGATTGTTCTGTTGAATTTGTATTGAAACGAAACATGTTTTGCAAACGGTCGCCATTTTTGCAAGCAAGAGTGTTTATAATTTTCAACACTTTATGTTTTCTGTGGTGACATGAGATTCAGAGGGTGACCTTTTATCATTGAAAAGTTGAATCGTTTAGCAGAACTAAGGGTTACTCACCGTATTCTGTAGACTGTTTACAATCCGTTTTGGTTCTGGTGAACACAGCCAATATGTTATCATTTATGTTGGAGTTATTTGCATTTTAGATTTTGTTGAAGTTTGTATTACGTATTGCTAGGTCTGTTCGCGCAGAAATCACAAACCAGTCAGAGTGAGTTTCATTGGTTGAAACCAGAGATATGGGAGAGTTGTTGGTTGGAATCAATGGTTAGAATAGAATAAGGGTCCATCCTGCCCAACTGGCCGAATTTGAAGGACCATCATTTTTGTCACTTGTCAAATTCGGGTGTTGGAAAAATAGGTTAGGAACAACTCATAATTCCAAAAATAAGCAGAAATAACAAAAAGAAATCTTTCAAAACACCAATCTGATAAAAAATATCTCAGAAAAAGCAGGAACAATCGCCATCAACAAGAATCTGTAACCGACCAAAAGTAAGGTTATATGTGAAAAATCTCTCAGAATGAAGTTGTCAACGTAACGTTTCCGATTGGTAGATTTAATACGCACTGAGTGTATTTTCATTCTTTTTCATCAACCTGTAGAAAAAAAAAGACAGGAATAAAAAAAATTGCATTAGATTGGTAGGAAACGGCATAAGTAAAAACAAGTAAAAAGTGAAAAAAATGGCGGCACCCTATGCGTTAACATAAAATCGGATGCGCAGTCGTCTAAGCGCATTCTATTTCTCCCTCACATATCTCTGGTTGAAACTAGTTTTGCGACTATCTTCAACCAATCAAATTTGCTCTGACTGGTTTGTGATTTCTGAGCGAAGTGCGCACAGACCTATTGACAATACACGTCAAAACCTTTTGACGTTTACTGTTCCGAGCGAGACTCAAAAAACAAATAACTTGAAAACTAGCGATGGTAGCACATTTGCGCAATGATAGGTTTTGATCAGAAGCTCAAAAACTATCATATGCCCAAGTAGTAGAAAATTTATCCGGGACCCAATTTCCATAAGATTAGTGCGGGGTCCTTTCTAAAATAATGATGCTAGACAATAACGAGGTCATCACTGATATCCGTCGAATAAGTAACGAATTTAATTCATATTTTTGCTCAGTTGTTACTAAGATGGCAGACAAAATTAAAAAAAGTACAGTAAATTTCGAAAAATAGTACCAAACACAATATGCTTATTACCAACAACAGGCAATGGAATAAAAAAATATAGTAAACTCCCCGAAAAATGGAGGTATCCCTGGTTGGGATGGCATTCTGGGAAGCACTTTGAAACTAATTTTGAATTATATAATAGAACCTCTAAGACGCATTGTGGACAGAATGTTTCAAACTGGTAGGTTTCCGGAAGTTTTTAAAACAACGCTAGTTATTCCAATCCCCAAACAAGGCAAGGCTACTGATTTGAATAATTATCGACCGATATCCCTGATAAGTAATATGGCTGAAATAGCAGAAAAATGTATAAAAAATTGAATTAGTCATTATATTGACACAGATTATTTACATACAGATGCGAAAGAGCGGCGAATTCGTGGTTCAAGATTAATTTGATAGACATAGGCTACCCGCACCAATGCCACATCAATGTATTTTGAACATATTTATTATATAAATGCGGAAGCTCAATAATATAATATTATTTCTTTAATTGCTTCACAAACAGCAAAAAAATATTTTTTTCTACCCGCAAAAATATGTAAACACACAGGCTGGAACATGCTCACGCACTCGGCCACGTTAATTGTCCTGACGCGGGCGATCTGTATCTATGCGTCAAGGCGCTAGCTCCCCGGCTTCGTCACAGAATATCGTCGACGGCAAGTATATGTACATACGCATCTGTATTAGGT